TCCACATGAAAGCCTTAATAATTCTATACTATTGTGAAAGCAGCCTTATGTCAACTGGAAATTCGGTGTGAACGGTAGCTTCACGTACAAAGTGTATTTGATTGTGTTGTGTATTCGTAAATTACCAACACCATCCAGAGTACAAATAGGTAAAGAAGGCACAGCAGTCAGCGCCATCTGTCGTGTAAAAAATGCGATGGACGTGCGAAGACGACGACGACGACGACGACGACGACGACGACGACGACGACGACGACGACGACGACGACGACGACGACGACGACGACGACGACGACGACGACGACGACGACGACGACGACGACGACGACGACGACGACGACGACGACGACGACGACGACGACGACGACGACGACGACGACGACGACGACGACGACGACGACGACGACGACGACGACGACGACGACGACGACGACGACGACGACGACGACGACGACGACGACGACGACGACGACGACGACGACGACGACGACGACGACGACGACGACGACGACGACGACGACGACGACGACGACGACGACGACGACGACGACGACGACGACGACGACGACGACGACGACGACGACGACGACGACGACGACGACGACGACGACGACGACGACGACGACGACGACGACGACGACGACGACGACGACGACGACGACGACGACGACGACGACGACGACGACGACGACGACGACGACGACGACGACGACGACGACGACGACGACGACGACGACGACGACGACGACGACGACGACGACGACGACGACGACGACGACGACGACGACGACGACGACGACGACGACGACGACGACGACGACGACGACGACGACGACGACGACGACGACGACGACGACGACGACGGAACTGAAATAAAATCATCTCGCTCGCCATTTCAATACGCCCTGATCTCGTACACTAATCGTATTGCACTTGGTGGGAATCGCTTCAGAACCTTCAATTCCTATAGTGAATGTATCAATAACTTTTCCTCATATATAACGGTTTATAAGATATTTCGTTCCAAACACAGGTATTAGGAGTTGACTCGAGTAAAGAGTCTCGGCGCGCTGCGCCCTGTACAGCCGGTTGCCTGTACTTGGCGCGAGACTCGACCGAGTCTCTTGATAATAAATTTCAACAATTTATTAAAAAATAAACGTTTTTTTTTTAATAGTAGATCTACTACATCTCTTTAAGCCGCCCTCTTGCCCCAGACTCCGCTATATAATAGCCATTACATACAATATATACCTATTTATATCTATCAATAATACCGTCATAGCATCCGATACAACAGTGCCCTAAGAATCTTCGATTTACACAGTTGTACATACATGCTGATTTTCGAGAAGGAAAGTAGTCCCTGGCGTTGATTTACTAAACCCCGGGATCTCTCGGCTCGATAACACAGAGCTTCTTGACGTCGGCGAACTGAGATGGGATCAGATCTAGATTTGAATCACGTATCCTCACACCGTAACAGCCCCTAGAGTCCAGCCCCGTTTTATAATCCTTAGCCCTTCGCTCTTCTTCCAACTAGCTTTCACTCTGCACAACCTTTTCTCGCCCTACCCTGGCCCAGCAAACCAATACCCAGCTACAGCCTAACTATCTATCCGCCTATCTACCCCTCCCAGCGCCACGTTACAGAGTAGGTAAGGTTAAAGTAGGCAGGTGTGCGCGGCCATGGTATCTTCGAGTGGCATTAATAGGTCTTTGTTTCGAGGAGGTTCCGTGCTCAGGCAACACGCCGTCAGCCGTGCGAGTCTATTATTCGAATATGGAGCAGATATCGGTTGCCGATATTTCACCGTCGTTCTAAATATTCGATCGAACAATCTTCCTCATTTATATATATATATATATCCAAAGATATACCGGGTGTCTCACCAAAAGTGCACACCTCCATTATTTCCGTTACCATTGAAGATACGCGAAAAAGTTTTAGGCAAAAGTTGTATGGTTTCAAGGGGCTCGACTTTTTTTATATTCTTTTGATTTCGAGATACAGCACGATAGATGTTTTCGGCGAGACAGCTTACTATACATATATATTATACTATCCTGATTTTCGCAGCATTACTTTCTTTCCTCTTATCTCTCACCTCCATTAGTTGTACGTATTGACTACTTCCGGTAACGCTGTCCACCTCCTTGTCCTGATTCTAATATCAGTACTATCATTAAGCCAAGAGAACGTTATCCGCAGTAGTATTAACTCCTGACGCGTGAAATCTTAGTACCTAACCTATAACTTGGCTCTACGGATTACGATACTTTCAGAAAAGTTTCATGATTCCCCGAGACTCGTTACGTCCACGTTTATACGGCTAGGCGTCCAAAGATCGTTTGGTATAAAAGTGGTCAGGTTTTAGGACTACTACACTTGCAGTTGACTATAATAAAGATTATATATATATATATTGCGGTACGAAACCATAATGGTAATTGCTCTTATAACGGAAATCAAACCAGACCGTCGTGTCCGGCGTAAAGATCCAAGTGATACAGTTAGGCTGGTATAATAGTGCAGAATAGTAGAGAATCTACGTGTAAAGAATACTAACCATTTTCCACGTAATAGCTGGTCTCGTTGTATCGCTCGTCCGTGAATCCCGGCCTCTTTGCTTTTAGCGCCTTTGTTTCCAATTTCGCCTGTAACAAAAAAGAGAGGGTGACGATTAAGTAACTCACTTCTGTAAGAAAGGGCCGGTACCCCGGGTGTGCTTGGGAAAAGGTGGGAAAAAAAAGAAGACCCGAAAGAGCAAAAGCTCCTTGTGAAGTTCGCTGAACAAAATTTAACGAATTTTCTCTTCTCTCTCTCTCTCTCTCTCTCTCTAGGTATATATGCTGGCAATCGAATATACTTCCGCGCACCCTCATTCTCTCATAATTGTATTAATAACAACCCTCTGAATTCCCTACCCTGACATCCCTACCGCATACTCCCACTCTCCGCTCTGCGTACAATCCCACAGAGAGACGTCAAAATCAATTCGACGCCCGATGCAAAGAGTTTTTTCTCTCTGCTTCAATTACTACGAGAGAGCTAAAATTTGCGAAGGGCACGTGGATGGGCAGCGTGTGGAAATAAAAAAATGTACGACTACAACACAGGGCAGAAACTTGTAGGAAGAAAGCAGCGGTACGAAGGGCAGCCGATGTACACGCTCTAGCTAGGCGAGTATAAGGCGTCAGAGAGTAGCTAACAGACAGTATATAGTCAGCCAGTGAATACACGTAGAAAAGTTTGGCACAGAAACTAGGCAAACATTTTATGGTGGTATTCGCATGAAACGAGCGTAAAATGTATGTTATTATATGTTTGGGGGAATGGGGTTTTGGCGTGGCGCGCGTCGCCCGATTATTCCTGGATTATGATAATCGCGTTTAATGTCTCTGCAGCGATCAGGGCGTTTTCAATTAGCGCGCTTGTTAATTGCTCGTAAAGCTCGAACTAGGTGTTTCAGATACCCGCGCTTTTACACGCCCATAGGTGGCTGATTACAGTTACATAACCTCGCTACGCAACGGGTCTATACGGTTTATGCAGCGATCCTTGTAACCGACAGAGTTTGTCTTTTCGATTTCCGCGGAGGTTGGAAAATAAAAAAAAAGGCAAACACAAATCTCTACGTCTTCCAGACACACGTCGTTCCCATGATAGGAGTATATTTGACCAGCTCCGTCGCTCTAGTAAACACCATTAGCGCAAAGGCCGCACTGTAATACGTCAAGTCGGTCGCTGGGATCACGGTTAACTCGGCATTGCGTACCCTGCTTGTCCATAACCTATTTATTTTTCTTCTTTCAGATTCGCCACGCTTGGGGCATCGTTACTGCCCGAGATTGGCAAAGTACCGACGGTCGACTTCGAGCTCGAATGAAGTGGAAAGACCACGTGTGTACGAGTAAAAACGAGAGGACGTAAAAAGATAATCAGAAATAAGTCATAAACAGATTAGCTACCACGATTCTTATTCAGTTTCGTGCGGTTTGTTATGACGGGATTCTCGAGTCCCTGTGAACGCGGCATAACGACGGTTAAAACTAGGAGTCAAAGTCGACGCGGTCGTACACGTGCTTTTGGATCTTTCATAATTTCAGGGTACCTGAGCCTTTTTTTTCCTTTTTTGACTTTTTGCAAAACGACGTACACGTGACGTCGAGTACAGTCGTAGAAAATAATCAGCCGTGTCCCGTGAAATTTTCACGCGACTCGGCGCGCTCTGGACTTTTGGCTGTATCGACCGGTTCTGAAAGCCCCCTGTAAGCTCACCCCCCCCCTCTCTTCAATAATCCACCCTCTCACTCTCTCATGGTATATATATCCCCTTTCTCTCTCTAACGCCTGTGCTCTCTATCTCCCCACGTATATAACCATCCAACTTTCCCTCTCCCTGAAACTACCTATAGCAGGAGGCGTCGGGTTTTGTCCTTTCGTTCGTAAGGCGTTCTCGCGTCCCGTGGGTTCACGAACTGTGAACGACACTACACCCGGCGTCGCCCGCAGCTCTGTCGTCCCTACGACCACTGGAATCTCGACGCGTCGAAGATACCTTGCTTCACGAGGAAAAAATATTCAGACCCTAAGAAATTACCACGATGATTCAGGGGCTCTTCCCGTGGCTCCCGGTTATCCAAGGAAGGTCACGATGCGGTCGAGCGACAAGAAAAGGACGAAAACGGAGTCCCGATCCCTTGGGACTCTCGAATCTAATATATTGCAGGATCCGAAAGTCTGCGTTATTTTCGTTTAAATTCATAGGCATTGTTATTATTCTTATAGATCCCGGTGGACGCTTCAACGAAAACTCAGAGATTTCGTAACTCGAACTTTCATGGACGTATAACCTAACAGATTTACCTGTGGATATACCGTAGTAAGATATATTCATGCAGACGATATACTGATCCGTGTCAAATATATATAGTGCAAATAAGCATATATGGAAAAACCATATATATAAAAAATATATTTAAAAATACATGATAAATATACGATTTCATAATAGCGTCAAAGTTAGATTTTCCTATTGCATATATTTCGTCGTATAATAAAATGTAGATTATTTTAATATATTCAATTAAATATATTATATGTCAAATATAATGCAAAATAAATTATTGGGCCATCAATTTTTTCAACTCTAGATATTTAATATATGCATTATCATATGAGACACTTATATGTATCTAATACCTATGTGAACCTGGCACCCGACTTAAAAATATTATAATTTTCAAAACGCGATTCGATTGTACCCCGTTTGTACCTGTTTGTACCACTTTAATTTTCGTTTGTACCTCAAAGAAGTCGAAATTACAGGTGGGTCAAAAAACCGCTAGCACCCAACTTGGAGTAATTTAAATTCTATTTGCAGGGACGAATTTAGAATCGTTTGTACCCGTTTGTACCCCAACGGGTAAGGAGATACAGGATTTTCAAAATTTACTAAGGGGTAACTCCGTCATTTTTTGAGCTGGCTCAAATCTGCGAAGGGGTGCTAGTTTAGAATCGTTGGTACCCGTTTGTACCACCGTTAGGTTCATTTTTACCCAGACGGGTAAGGAGATACAGGATTTTCAAAATTTACTAAGGGGTAACTCCGTCATTTTTTGAGCTGGCTCAAATCTGCGAAGGGGTGCTAGTTTAGAATCGTTGGTACCCGTTTGTACCACCGCTAAGGGGTGACTCTGCCATTTTTTGAGCTGGCTCAAATCTGCGAAAATGTTTTGCTACAAAACCATGCATATGCATACTTTGTAACAAAACTTTTATGCGGAGCCACGTGTCACTTACTAAGGCTACATTGTTTGCTAACTGCCAAAAAACACATTGAACCTCGTAGAGAGGCAATATATGCAAGTAATTTATCGAGTCTCGATTAATCACATTTACCTCAGGAGAACAGGATTAAATTCTTAAGGAAATTTCGAATAAACAAATTATGTAGCGAGGACTTGCTACGATTTTATTTTGTTTATAGAAATAAGCTGAATATTTTTTTAATTCCATTGCGCATTCACAAGTTCCAGGGCGTTTTGAATACAGGTTCGGACTATATAAACGTCTTAATATATCACCCACAATTTTTACAAATTAGCTAAATTTTTTCGAATGGTATTATTACTTACATTTTCAAATCAATCAAGTCAAGAAGATTACTAATTTTACTTTACCTTCATTTGCATTCGTATTCTACTGAATTAACTTTATTAATCAATATTATTTTATTCGTATGTTATAATTAGGATAGTTACGATAATAAGAGTAATACATTACTCTTTAATGTTAACAGTACTGTAATCAACAATTCCAATAGGTGAAAACAATTCTAAACCAGCACCTCTTCGCAGATTTGAGCCAGCTCAAAAAATGGCGGAGTTACCCCTTAGTAAATTTTGAAAATCCTGTATCTCCTTACCCGTTGGGATACAAACAAAACTAACGGTGGTACAAACGGGTACAAACAATTCTAAATTCATCCCTGCAAACAGAATTTAAATTACTCCAAGTTGGGTGCTAGCGGTTTTTTGACCCCCCTGTAATTTCGAATTCTTTGAGGTACAAACGAAAATTAAAGTGGTACAAACAGGTACAAACGGGGTACAATCGAATCGCGTTTTGAAAATTATAATATTTTTAAGTTGGGTGCCAGGTTCACATAGGTGTGTCTAATTATATATCGTATAACATAGATGATAATATAAATTTATGATACACTCAGGGGACATCCTCGAGAACGGGTGTATTGCGAAAAATCAAAGTAATTGAAATAAAATAAAGGACAATGGAAAATCCAGACGGTGAAAGTCCACGCGATGTCCTTAGCGACACCGCCTGTTGCTATTCACCCTGGATAGCTTTCCGCTCCATTCAGAAAAGCCGACGACACGCTTGAGAAGACGGCGAGGAAGGAGGCGGATGAGGAGGAGGGGCGGGGTGGGTCGCTCGGAGAGCAGGGAATCGAGTTTGAGGACATAAAAGAGAGCAATCGCAGATGACAGAAGAAATAGAAGCTTGTGGGGAAAAAAAAGAAAGGCAGTATCACCTTAGAAATGGGGGGGGGGAATGATTATATTTTTCCCTTATTTATCTCTTTTCGAGTAAATTGCCATATACCCGAAAGGATGTAAGTTATGGGATGGACATGAGTCGAGTAGTAAGAACGACGGTGGACAACGAAAATGAGAATGAATAGAGTGAAGGTAAGCAAAATGGACAAAAAAGAGAGATGGGCTACAAGAGCAATCACGAGATTAACGGAAGCTACAGTATATTTAGTTAACGTCTCTCGGACGTCAGTAAGACAGGTTCCGGCGGTACCTAACGACACGAGTTACGCCTGTCAAATATTGAAGGCACTAACGTGTGTGTATATATATATATATATATATATATATATATATATATATATATATATATGTATATATATGTATATGT